GGCGCTGTGGGTCTAGTGCCGAAATATGCAAGGCTCAGTAAAGAATTCTTTTTTTCTCTCTCATCCTCTTTCCATCCTACAATGAGAAATGTATATTGTTCTGTGGTGCACTTTTCAAAGTGGATCTTAAAGATTCGAGAGGTTCTCCAGGTTACAACCTTATCGGCGCTAAGTTTCCTTGAATAATGAAAAAGACTTTCTCTGCGCAATTATTTGCTACCGACAAAAGGCGTTCCCTTCAACTCCATAGGAGGCTTTGTGGTTTCATTCTATTTGATGATCTTTTTATGGTCACCTTGGGAATATCACCTCCGTCCCTGGAGTAACATTGTTTCGCTCGGAAGATCACGGAGAGCATTCGAGAGGATTATATTCTGGGATTGCAAGTGCGATACTGGCTTGTTATCGCGAGGAAACCAAAGTCTCGTCGCAATAATTTAATTGAATTTTTTGCCATTCCGTTACGTATAGGATGAATAAAGGGAATCTCAGAGATATAATCTATTTAGGCTTAGGTCTAGCTTTTGATAATTCATTCCTCATACGAGATGAAGAGCTAAATTGTAGGCTAAATAAATAATATCAGGCTTCATCATGGAAGAAGACAGTCGAATGCAGAGAAAGGCTTTGAGATTCTGGAAGAGTGGAATAAGAAGTGACTCATTCAGCTCGGCTTCAGGAAAGATATAGTTCCATGCATCGGCCGTTATGGCGATGAGACCCTGAATGCATTCGACGGGAATAGGCTTGGGAAGACGAACGGGATCGGAGATTTAGAGGTTTTCATGGAGGGACTCAAAGTCGTTCGAGCAAGCGCAAGAGACAGAAGGCTAAAATAAGTGAATCTTCGATTGCAATAACGGCTAGCGCGTTATTTTACCGTTGCATGCAGCACCAGTAAGGCTCCATTCAGAATATTAGATTCGATTTTTGAGGCTTGTGTATGAATGGGATTTTATGGTGCTGGAGAGAGTTCGAAGGCGGCTTACTAAGATGGAGTGGGATGAGGGATGAGGAATGAGGGAGGTAAGAGGACTTTGGTGCGACCGGTGTTCAATTAGATGCGTCGCGACTGTATTCGCTGGAAAGAAGATTAACGAGGTTGAATCTCAGGCATTTGGCATCATTAAGGGCTTCGATAACTTGGAGCTTGGTAGGTTTCTCCGACTCGAGGGTAATAGCAGCGCGAGGGAGAACAAGTTGAAGTTGGGTAAACCTCAAGTGAGGCTCAAGTGGCGAAATGAGTTTTTTAATTTATCGATTAGAGAATGCGCGGAATGCGCAAGGCGAATAAGTAGTATCAGTCTCTTCCGTGGATGGCTCTAACAAAAGGGACGCCATCATGAACAAAATAAGAAAAGAGAACAAAATAGCTGTCAGCAACTAGGTAATTGATTGAGACGCTCCCACCAAAAACGTTTATTTTTAAGGCCTCTCTTAGAAGAGAAGGGTTAAGAGGAGCACTCTCATTTTGTTGTGGCTTTCATGCCGAAGTAGAGGGCGGGGAAGAGAAGACCCAAACGGAACGATGCAGGTGGCCGTTTGCCTCCACATGGAATATTCTGGTATGGCAGCGGCAGATGGTTGGGTGTCTGGCTGGCCACCAAGGAAATAATTCATCATGCGACATGAAATGCACATGCAATCGACTGGCTGCCTCGTGCACTCCTTTCGTTTCGCTCTCGAAGGCTTGGAACTCGACGAATCGGAACTCATTCGGGATGCACCACTGTAGTGATTACGGTACCCACTTTTCCTCGGCTTCCTCTCCGATCCAGGCCGTACAGGTGTCGTATGCGAGTTTCAGGATCTCCAAGTTGAATAACGGTGATAGCGCAAAGGAAACGTTCCATCCAAGCTATGATGGCACTTGAAACGAGTTCCTGACTTTCAGCACGGCTTCCACACTTTTGTTCGTAAAATTCAAAGTGAAATAACGATTGCTTCTCATGGGGGTGGTTGGTTCATATGCACCGTCATTCGTATTTCGGTTATGCGTCATCCTTATGAATTGTTTTTTATTATATGCCAGCAGTGGAACGAGTGATTCTGTCATTTGAGCAAAAGCGAAAGCGAGAACTCCAAGCAAAGTTTGAAACCCCTCAAGCCTAAAGTGCTCGGCCTGCAGTAGGGAGAACTCCCCTGAAGGGTCTGGGTCGCACCGGTTTTCGAAAAGATCAGCAGAGAATCGAAACGAATGAAGATGATCGGAGTGGAAGTGCTTCACTCGAGACGAGCGTATGCGATCAAAATATCTTGAGCAAAATCATCCCACAGGAAGTTCCATGAAGGGGATGGAATCGAGGCCTCGATATTGATGATATTTCCGCTTTAAATTGGCCCATAGGGTGACTCAGTCGGCTTCCTTCCCCCACATGCACACAATGCTCGGCGGGATTGCCAGGAGCACACCGACGAACCATGTGCCACCACACGGAAAGGCGAACACAGGCACGAGTACATCGTGCCAGCCTTGTCTTGCTTCTCTCCGTTTGTATGCGTGGACAGTCGTGGAGATTCTCATCGAGATAATCGTAGCAATGCAAAAAGCGTTTTTTAAAGGCTCTCTCCTTTCTTCATCCCTTCTTCCTCATCGGGCACCGTGCCAGTTTCCATAACCTCAATGAACGAGTAGTCTCTGCGGCCTCAACGAACGATCGGAAATCACTGGAGCAATAGTCGAATACGAACGAGATAGGCATCGGGACCTACAAAGCCTAAGTCCAATGGTGAGTATGAAGGTTTTCTAACCATCTCAACGGGGATCTGTGGACAAACTGCTGCACTGCCTCCACGGTTCAAATGAACGTTGGACGCTATCAGCAGGGATGTCCATGGACGGTACATCTATGATGTGCCGCATCGATCGCCATCTCTTACCACTGTTTCAGAAACATCTCATCCAATGAAATCGGCACGAAAACTGTCGTGCATTATAAACAGGAGATTCAGGCACCGTTATGAAAGCAGAATCGCTCATAGATTCGACAAAACTCCTTAATGACATCCGGCATTCGTGGTAGAGGGGACTGGAGTCCGCACGAAAAGCCGAAATCGCTGGCATCTAATATTTTCACCGCGAGATGGTGTATAGCAAGCAACGGAAGGGACAAGTGTCTCGCACTACAAGTCCATATCTTTCTTCCGATTAGGATACTTTCTCCAAAACCTCTCTCGTTGGGAGAGATGATGGGAAGAATACCGAATGAAGTTGAGGTCGGTTGAAAATATATTTTTCTCTCTGCATCTCCGCGAAGGAGCTTCAAGTTGACTGGAGTGCTCTATCTTGAGAAAATTTCTCGCCTGCTCAGTATCATTCTTCCAAGAGCTCTCGGAGAGGAATGCGAGGAAGCTAATCTTCGAAACGGGAGGGGGTCGGAGAAAAGGAAAGATGTGGAAGCGCCCATTGCGATCGATACGAAATGCGATGAATCGAATGGTTTTCCCAGTTACCCCTCGAAAGAGGATGCATCAATGTCATTTTTCTCACTGCTCTGACTTCGAAGGCGGAAAAGCACCAGTTTCCAATAAGGATAATGATTCTCAGCTGCGAGGTCTTATTTTGTGGGAAGCCGAGACACACCGCCGTTCGACCTATATTAAAGTGTCCATGGGTCGTGCCGGTTGCGCGAAGAACGAGTAAAAAAAAAAAGTTTCCGGGCTTTGCGATATCATCGCTTTCCGATATTCTTCGTATCACGACGGCGACGAGACGATGTCACCTCTCGGAGCATTCTGTTGGAAATAATGACACCACGCGAAGGAGGCTTCATTCGGGATTATGCATTCATTATGCATCTTCCCTTTCCGCTGCTTTCTCCCCTGTCGTGTGACTCCGCAGATTCTCAGATGTCACGAGCAAATACGTCACGAAAGAAGGTGAAATTCCAGCCAAGTCCAATAGAGCGTGTGTCTGTCACAAACCCGTGTGGAGATGTGAGTCTTGGGAAGTAGTGAAAGCGATACGATGACAGGTACCGACAGATGTGAAGGGCTCGAGAAACTCATTCTCCCACCGTCGCACGCATTCACTTATTGGTGCCCAACACTTAACAAATGTCGCATAGAAAGTAGTCATCACGATAGGCATTTGAAGAGGAACGAGGCATTTTTCGCGATACGGTCGAGAAACGACCGAGATGATTTTGCATTCCTACGATGTAGACGAGAGAACGAAACATCCCGTTTACGATATCTAAAACCGATACCTATCGATACCAATATCGACGGTGACGTGATATGATTGTTCTGAGCACATTCGCGGTCAACCGGCACGCAGAAGATAGGAATGCGTCGACGGGCAACCGTCGGTTAATAGACGCTTTGGTCGCAAACATCCATTTCGCCGGGTTCGAGTTCCGCCTCGGTCGGGGGAGATCAATCAATTCCGTGGGTTCATGTTCATGAAAACAACCGGTACTTCAGGATATGCATGCAGGATTTCTAAAATGAGCTTAAAGTAAATGTCAGGAACGACTTTCCTCCCATGAATTAGGAACGCGGTTCATATCGCTAATGTATGGATTTTGTGCGCTTTCTCCTCGTACCCGAGCGTCAATAGCGGCAAGACCGGACCATCTGTTTCCTGCTTTCGGTCTTTTTTTTAATGCATAGACACAGCAATACGTAGCTCCGCACGGGAACGAATGCAGCAGTCGGTCGTAATGATCAACGTGATGTTCCTTAATAAGATGCATCGATATCTCATACAAAAGCAATAGCTAGTTGCCTTTCTATTTGCAATTAATGAGCAATTTCGGTCTCTCGTTCCAAAACACCGAAGAAATCCTTTTGTTTCCTGACGCGTATACCGACTGCGTACGACGAACTGAAGGGGACAGACTCTTTCCACTTTTTCTCTAAAAGTAGGAAACGTGATGGATCGCTCTGTGTGCAGGTGCGAGCGTTATTACTTGCGGCTTTATGGGCCTTGGGGGCGAGGGTGAAGGGATTCATCAGTATGAGGGGGAGCATGCGACTTTCTTCCTTTCCTTCCGTAGGTTTGACGTGAGAGGGAGGCCATTAGGAGAAGGGAAACATCGGCCCGGTTCCTCATCCATCTCCAGCCGATCCCAATTCGATCAATCGTCTCTGATCATCGACCCGGTCAACGAGGATGATCGGGGCACTTTCGTATGCCGGGTCGACTTTCGCACCTCTCCGACCAAATACACCAAGGTGCAACTCGTCGTCATCGGTGAGATCTCGCACGTGCATCGGTTGCTACTTCTCGTTCTCGTCGACCTCACGGCTGGAATAGACGAACGCACGCTCTGTTTTAGTTTCACCCAAACGAAGTCTAAGCCTAAAATTCAGGAGTCTTTTCGCAAATGAGATGATTACCTTTGGAATCCTTGCTCCCCCCCATTTGTTCTAGTTCCCCCGGAAAAGCCGAAGATATTGTACCTGAATGGGACGCGGGCGGAGACAGTGGTGGGTCCATACAACGAAGGCGAGGCGCTATACCTCGTCTGCGAGACCATCGGAGGTCTGTGAAAATACATTCCCTTCTTGGTTCACTTGTAGAACTCCCAGCGTAGGACTATTTCCCTCTCCCATTTCCCCGTGCGATCTATCTAGTGATGATGGAAAGCCTTCTTCCCTCGTATTTTTTCGTACCCCTTTCAGAAGTGGTGCAAAACGTGAACCCTCGAATCTCGTGGCGCCACAATTTACTTCTTAGAAAAAGGAGTAATGAGGTACGGTACTGCCAAGAAAGTCTTTCGGTACTTAATTTGAGTTCAAGGAATGTTGAAGCATCAGCCAAGACAGTGATGCTGGCATTGGGTTTGCATCATTTCAAAATTTCTTCCTCAAATTTCTTGGATGAGATGGAGAACAATCCTGGTTCGTTTGCCTTCGTTCGTTAGATCACATTTTCCCCGCACTCGGGTCAATTTGCACGTCCCATTACTTCCAATCTCCTGCATTTTTTTGTAATGCGACCACTGGAATGTACCAATCACAGATCACCGGGAGGTACTAAGCATGGAATTTCGCATTCAATATTTAGATCGAATAGAACTTGAAAACTATCATTCTCGACGACGAGCCCACTCATTTTCGAAGAAGAAAGTTGGAGTTTCGAGAATTCAAAGTCAGACGACAATTTGATGTCGTAGTGAAACTTTCGTGTTCGGCCTCAAATCTTTGGAAGGGTGAAGAAGCAAAGAAACGATTCCCCGAATCAGCTCGGTAAAAATTAAATTCGGTGAGAATGAGACGAAAGAGAAGACAGACGAGAGACAAGAACGTGGGGGAGGAAGAAAAAAAGTAGGGAGAAGATGGGAGGGAAGGGGGTGGAATGGGGGATGAAGGACATCCATCAAAGGCCGATAACAAGGACAGAGATCGATGCCTTCGGCCATCGATTCCTTCTTGACTGATGATGACGACGCCGGGACATCTCTTACCCCCCTTCATAATCTGTCTGCTTCCGTATCGAGACGGCTCCTGTTGGATCCCGGACCGCGCGTCGCCTTCGACTTAAAATATCGGAATTGGATTTAGGGGAGCCGTTGCCGAACGTGACGTGGACTCGCGGAGGGAAGGAAGTGGACGCCACGAGTGAAATTTTGGGCTCGAGAGTCATCAATCGATTGGAGATCCAATCCTTGACGAGAGAACATTTCGAGTCGGTTTTAACGTGCGAGGCCACAAATTATCGTCTGTCCGTCCCCGAGAAGGACTTCGTCACCATCGACATGAATCGTGAGACTTATCTGTCGTGCATTCGATCGTTCCATTAGAGTTCTCGGTGATACGAATAGATAATGTGCATGTACTTTTCATCAGTTCGTCCGTTGGCGATCCAAATCTTGACGCCCGGGTCGCCGATGTCGGCCGGGAGGGAATATCAGATGGCATGTGAGGTTTTTGGATCCAGACCTCAACCTTCGGTGACCTGGACTCTCCACGGCAAACCTCTCGACGATCATCGAGTCAATGTGAGTCACATGATTTCGTTTCGACCGTCGGGATCGGCCTGTTTTCGCGGTTCGATGGAGGATCGGTCGTCCTCAAGTATAAAAAAAAGCACGCTGTGCATCTAGGGAATCCTTAGGACAGTCGATGTTGATGGAAAAATAAAGGCCAAGGGTCGCCCTGTATTCTTTAAGCTTATCGGAGGCGTGGAGCCGATCGATTGTTCGACACAGCATGCCTTTCCCTCGTATTCAATATGAGGGGATAGGGATATGAGAACTAGAAAGGGAGGATAGGAGGGAGGGAGAGAGACTTTGAATACAGAAGCCCGCCGGAGTAATTGACATGAGAGGAAATTATATCCTCATGCAATATTGTCGGCGGAGACGGAGGAGCCTACGTCTTCCCTTCCATTGAGCAATGCTGTAGGGATCCGGGACGTTATGGATGCCCCCGGCTACTGTATAGGCATACAGATCACTCTCTCTGCATCACTCTCTCCTCTTTGGACGTCACCCGAGGGCGATGGGGAAAGGGACCTCTCCGATGGATTTTCTGGCATTCCGCCGAATGCATGCGAGAGCATCGTCGACCCATTTCTTGGAAGAAGGTGCGGACGAGATTGCCTGCGAAGACACCCATCCATCCATCCATCTATCCGAACTGCGACTGAATCAATTTCCTAATGCGATGAAAAGAAGATTAATGGCTCCTTGGGCTTCATTTTTTCATATTAAAATGTCGCTGCAGATCTACCACGGAGTAATCCACGCCAGAGATTAGGACGCGATCGATCCCGAAAAGAAAAACTTTCCCCGACGGTCTTCTTCCGTCCTCGCATTTTAGGGAGGATCGGGAAGGAACATCAGCGTGAGCATCCTGACGCTGAAGACGAAGAAGTCGGACGACGGAGCCACGCTGAGGTGCCAAGCTCGGAATCCCGCTGCCGGTTCCGGATGGATCGAGGATTCCGCCGTCCTCGGCGTTCGCTGTAAGGAAACATCGATCGGGTCGTCCGAACGTCGAGCGATGCCCGAATGCACTTACGGATCGGAGTCCATTTCGCTTTCTTCTCTTTCTGCCGCAGACGCTCCGGAATTGGAGATCGCCCTGGGTCGCAACCTGAACGGATCGCAGATCAAAGAAGGCGACGATGTGTATTTCGAATGCAACGTCGATGCGAACCCGGACGTCCAACGACTCCACTGGACTCTTGATGTGAGTCAGCCCCTTTCTGTTGATTTATTCCAATTTCCTTTAGAGCTGGAAAGAACGACACGAGGGTAGCATATGCATGCTCTGCCACGCTAACGAGATCGGAATTTCAAATGCGGGATTATACACCGATGCGTCTCTGGGTTCATGAATCCTTGATGCTCGCCGAGTGTGGACACGTAGTCGAGCCAAAACGAGGCCATCTGTCAACGAAGGAAGGATTTCTCGCCTCCCCCTCATCGGAGTCTCGTAAATGTTCGCAGGGAAAAAAATTGGACGAAGACCTCGGCAGAGGGATCATCTTCAGTCCAAACACCCTCGTGTTGCAAAAAGTGAAGAGATCTCAGTCGGGAAATTACCGGTGCCACGCGAGGAATCCGGAAGGAGAAGGTTCCAGTCGGCCTCTTCGACTCGCCGTGAGATGTGAGTGCCTCGGAATCCCGTCACTCCCTTCTTTTTATACCGAGTTTTCTCGTCCGACGTTCGATGCGATCGAATGCAGTCGAAACGCTTTCTTTCGTGCTTGGGATGTCACGACCCCGTGCGATGACGGTTCGGTGGACGCGCGTCGTCTATTTCGGTCGCCTCAGGAACGCCCGTCAGGGTCCGGGTACTTAAACATGCACGTGGCATTTCCGGGGTTGCACTAAACCGATTACCATCGATTCGAGCCGTACGGCCCATGCCGTAAAGCACCGAATGGATGCGAGTGCAACGACGGCACAAAAAATTCATTCGATGACTCGATCGCAACGATGGAATCGTGTCCACCGGGTCGATACGCGTCTCGCATGGAAGCAAACGTCGAGGCCAAACAAATCCATGCAACTATGGTATCACATTATGAAGGTCGAGCGCGGCCGAGAAATATTAGCGATTCGTGTCGAAACATTAGCCTTGCACGGTTGTGCTTCGAAACGTCGCTGCCATCAGTATACGTCCCGGTGCGATCGTTACGGGCCGATTCGATACATCTGGATTGAATCGTTCGTCGACGAAGCGATGCAGGGCGTACCATAAACATAGTTCCATTCGAAAAGGAAACTGTTCCCAGGGTTACTCCCCTTCCCCTCCTCGGGGGGGGGGAGTTCCATTCTTTCTCTTCCGTTCCGTTGCATTTGTCCTCGTCGCGGGTAAATGCGGTCACTCTCGTCACTCCCAATCAGGTACCGAGTCGGTCTTATCTACAGCCTAGATGTGTTTGCACAACTCATCGATCGTCCCCTTCGATACCAGATAGCACGTATTCCCTCATTCCTGCCAGATACACAGGCCAGCAAGACTCGGGACGTGCGTGGGGGTCACACCCGGTCTCATCCGGTCACACCCGGTCACGCCCGGTCACACCACTCCCCCCGACCGGTACGATCCGGTCGCATGTCGAAGATTCCAACAAATCCGATCAGACGGATGGAAGAAGCCTTTTTGCAATATGGGGACGCCGAAGGGTTGAAAGATCACTTATTTGTTTTGGGGAATAGCAGACTCAAGTGGGCTCTGGGGTAAATGTCTGGAAATCCCAGGGATCAATTTTCCATCATCTACTCCATATGTGAAAGGCTTTGGAAATGGATACGAGGGACTTTAGAGCATCTCGTTGGGACACGAGAACAGACGGATACAGAGATCTACCCTTCGACGCGATTTCGAACGTCATCTTTGTATTATTCTTCCTCGAACCCTCGATCTGACACCACGATTAGTAGAATCCCAAAAATGAGTGTTGCGAGGGATTTACTCGTAGGTGCGAACGGATACCGGCCTCGAGGGAAGCTTGGAAACAGAACAGACCCCTTTTCGTCGTGACGATCGACGATGCTTTTCGCTCTTTATTAAAGTTCACTCGAGACGTCGCGGTCCTACGACGGGCGATAGACCTCGATTGCGGATCCTATGAAAAGATAAAAGCGAGGGGCGTTCGCTTTTTTTTGTTCGAAGTTTGTGGTTGGAAACAAATAGACCCACTCTTGCGATACAGGAAACCGCATTGCAGATTCATCGACGGATCTCTCCCGGAACGTCGGTACCAGGAAATGTAACACGGATGTGTACTGTTCCGATCCGCTGATGCAGATCGACATTTATTAGATTGACATCGATTGGAGGAGGACGCGAGTTCTATCTTGTGGCATCTCTGTATTTGGTGGGAGATGCGTTCTTGCAAACGTGCCTCTATTCGCAAGACCCCGCGAGACTGACGATCCGTCGACTTCAATCTCGAACGAACGCATTCGTTTGATTCGGCATTCGATTCGATTTAGGGGTTCTAGGGACATGGATGCGAAGGCGCCGCAGATCACTGCCTAAATATCGGCTTCCCGATGGAGTCCAGCTCTTTTCTTTGTCGTTCGGAAACGTTCTGAGATGGGTTTCTGTTCCAGATGCACCAGTGTGTAGAGGAGAGCAGAAAACTCTGGTGGGAGTGTCTCTACGAGGAACCGTGAACGTGACGTGTTCCCTGGACGCCAGACCCCTCCAAGACTTGACCTTCCACTGGGGTTTCAACACCTCGACGGACGTCGTGGAAGTCTCGAAGCGCCGAACGTCCGCGTCCAACGGAACGAACGTTCTCCTGTATTCCCCCAGGACGGAATTCGAGTTCGGCACCCTCCTCTGTTGGGGACAGAATTCCGTCGGCACCCAACTCGTCCCCTGCGCCTTTCAAGTCCTCGAAGCAGGTCTCCATCGCCTCTCGTTCATATCGAATGCATGAGAAGAGTTGATTGCGATCGACGATCGAAAGAGAATAATTGAGGGACTCCGTCTAAGAATTCCCAAAAGGAAATAATCCATTAGTCTGTACCCGATCGAACGGAGACTCCTCCGGGTTGGATGAATCGCACGGTTTCTTTTCTTTCTCATCTTGAAACACCACTTTCTTTAATTCGCCGTCATTCTCTCCATTCCTTTAATCTTGATTATCCCAAAAAACTCCGTCATTATCATGCCTGGAATATTTTATTTAATGCATTCCACCTGTCGTAGAGTTCTGTGCCGAGCGAAAGATGGGAATCTCCCCTTCTTTCGCTTGATTAGGATATCTTAAGGGGAAATGTGGCATCGTTATCGCTTGGACGGCCGAGGAACGAGGAAAGACAGTTCGAGTTCTGAAGCGATTATGTCAGAATAAGACGATGAGTTCGTAAAATGTTCATATCGAGAAGCATGCACGAAAGTCTTGCACGAACAGGATACGACTTTTCGTGTTGGCTGGAACCAAGGGCTCCCGAGAACCAACTCGTGGGGCGGTTGTATGAGATGATGGAACACGAAATAGATTCATGGATTGCCTTATCTCCACTATTCCATTTTGAATCCAATCCTAATGATGAGGATGGTCTCTTCCTATGAAAATCCATCGCCCCTGGTGAAGAGGATTGCTTTTTCCCCATTACCATCGACACTGCTCGTATTCCCCTACGTTCTAGGTATACTGTCTGTATAGGTGATGGAATAATAATAGAAAGGGAGATAAGGAGGGAATACTCTAGGGTAATATCAACGGGGAAATCACTCGATTCCCCTCCAGCCCTCCATCCCTTCTCCTTAGATTTATTGCCTTTTCCAGGAAGATATATCTTTTTTATGTATCTGGGAATATTTTGCCTCTCTTTCGTGCATGCACCGAACCGACAGGTCCCCCCGAGATGCCGTCGAACTGCAGCCTGAGGAACCAGACGACCCGATGGTTATCGGTGACGTGCGAAGCGAATTTCGACGGTGGTTTACCACAAAGGTTTTTCCTGGAACTCTTCGACGCGGAATCGGGGAAGTTGAGGAAGAACGTGACGTCTCCGAAAGCGGAGTTTCACGTGGAAAGCCCCATCGATGGGGGTTCTTTGACCTTGGTCATCTACGCGGCCAATGACGAAGGACGCAGCAAAAGCGTTTTTCTCGACGTTAGGACAGCCATGCTTCTAGACCGTCGACAAGGTAGGCCTATCGCACGCCGCAAGTTCTCTTTTTTACAAGTCAAACTGCAATAAGTGGTTTAAATCGCGCTATGCGTGTCAGGAGAGAGCAGTGCGTTTCCCCCTCCTTTGACGCCATTCCTTGGCATCGTGTCCGGTGTGGTTGGGTTGTCCATCGTCTCTCTCCTCGTTGCCCGTCTCGTCTACACTTCGAGACGGCGTGAAAGAGCCAAAAGGAACCAGGAAGGGAATCCCGATCTCATCCACGCCTGTCCCCCAGGTGAAGGATCCTCCTCGTCGTCGCCATCTTCCCCGTGTCCGACATCCCATTCACCTCTCATCTCCTCGTTCTGTTTCCAGGAAAAGAACCCGAGGGAGGGGCGAAAGGTCGGGAGGAGGAGGCCTTTTTGCAACGACATGTGATTTATGGTGCTCTACAAGCAAAGGTCTGCCCTTCATCCCTCAAAGCGTTACTCGTCGAAAGGCTTCTTTTCTTTCATTCTTTCTTCACCTTGTTTTCGGTCCCATCACTCAGGATGGCAGGGAAGATTCCCTGGAGGAATGGGAGATGGGAAGTGGGAAGGAGTCGCATTCTCCTGCCGGATCGTACAGGCAGGAGTGTCGAGGTCGAGGCCAAGGCCAAGGTCAAGGTCAAGGCCTAGGTCAAGGCCCAGAAGGACCATCGTTACAGACATTCGCAACGCGATCTGAAGAATACTTACTGATGCAAAACGGCAAAATGGCCGTCTCGCCGTCACCTCGGATTGCTCAACGGACTTTGCCAAAAACCTCGGTCGCTTCCATACACGGAGTGAAACTCTTGCAAAAAGTGCCCTCGAAAGAAAGCATCGTATGAAAGAATGAGTGAATTATTTCGTGTTTCTCTCAATTTGTTTGAATGGAATAAAATCTCAGGGTTCTGCGTTTTCCCTTCTCACCATTCCAGACGATGTTTTATTTAACGAATCCAGGCCCCGAGTGCGGTGAAATATAAATCCGGTTCGAGTACCTGCATCTGGGCGGCGCCTGAGAATGCGGTCTGATGATAATGATTTCCTCCGGCACGACCATCGAGTGCGGAGAGAGATATGGAAAGGAGAAGCTCGATGAGATAAAACCGATCGAACACGCAATCCAACGACGCGAAACTGTATAAGGGAAGGCACGAAGCGATCCAGTTCACGGAAATACAGGCTTATCGTTTTCACTCCATCGCGTCATATCGCCTATATGATAAATATCGACCCGTCCTCCTAATGCGCTTGTTGACTGAACGCACTCGTCACGGGCAGCACGGGCCATCGACTCCCTTCTGCCCCTCAACCATAAATGATGCGCAGCGCTCGCTTCTCACCGCAGTGGGTGCCGAAAACTTGAAGCAGTGGAGAGTTGTACTCGATGAGACGAAAGAAATTACCTAACTTTGGAGACTCGTATCTATCCAGCAGGAAGCCTACAAATTCCAATGGAATTTCTCTTTAATGCTCCATCCTATAATTATGGCAGATTTAGTGCGGTAAAAAACGGTAAAACGGTCAAAATAGTTTCACTGTTCACCACCCTAATGCACAATCAGACGAGGTAACTAGGCAACTTTATTTAGCAAATGATTCGAGGTTTTGTTTTGAAATAAAATCGTCGAACATCGACATCTATAATTAAAACCTATCTCAAAAAATGATCTCCACCCAGGCACACCAATTCAAAGCATAATTTCCAAATTGTCAAACACATTTTTATTTACTGAGTTACCTGTTCTTGCTCATGGGCTATCGATCCTCGATATCTTACAGGGTTTGGGTACATTTTACTATTGAAACTTGAACGCACAAAAAGTTGTGAATTTGAGGAAATTCGTCAGACTGGAAGCAGAATACATGGAGAAGAGAATTTCGAAGGATGACCAGAGCGGGATGACCTGCAACGGTCATTTCAGACTTGCAAGCATTCAACCGTCTGCCTCCTCGCCTCATTGCGCGCTTTATTAGCGGATTCGTTTTGTTGCATACTCAGTGCACCACTCTCTGCTACGTGATTGAATTTTAATCTCGTTCGTTTGGGAAATTTTAACTGCGTGTAATGATGTTCAACCTGCAAATAATCCGAAATGAGGGGCTTTTTGGAGATGCACACACAAATGACAGGACTTTAAGGGACATCGTATCCGGAGTAAACTGAATAGACATCACACCCCCCCCCCCCCCATGTAATGGTTATTTGCAGGGACTTTTGTGCCCCTAGATCCAGGGAAACATTGACTTCTTCCACGTAAGTGCAGTTCTCTACAGCTTAAGAAAATTTATCAGAATGTAGAAAATGTACGCATGATGTATCGCTCTTTCTCTTCCTCTCAGATGAACCAGCCTCTCGCATTTCTCAATCGATCTCTTACCATTTATTTCATTCCTTGTCGGCCAACTCTTGCCCTACCTTTTTTTCTGAAATACAGGCTTTAATCACAGCTTTATCTTCCGCAGAGAGACACCTTATTCATGGATCGACAGAGGAGCAATGTACCTGAAATTAGTGCGAACTGGACCCACCAAAAAGATTTCTCGCTGATGCTTTCCCTAGTTATGAGGTAATTTTGAGTTGCATTCGTAAAACCATGCAAAAATGGCTGGGAAAAAAGGACAAGAATATTTGTAAGTTCAGGATGTGATAGAAATCGCTCTAAAAAAAAAAAACTTTACTGTGCTATCTGCCGCCTTGTCCTGCCCAAAGAATATCAGAGAGCGCAGAATTTTTCTATGCCACTGCAGGTGTATGAAAAACGTATGTTCGACTCTTGCGTCATCGGGTCGCTGTTTCCTTGTGGATCCTCAAGTGCAAATGAAAAAATGTGGGAAAGAATCAGCGCTGTAAGTCCGAAAGTGTCAAGGAGCGAGTGCAAATATATACAATTCTAGTTGCTTTTGAACTGTCGCTCGTGAGATAAACGGCTGGAGATATAAACTGACGAAAATTGTATGATGCTTAAAAGTTGGATAGGAGTAATTACGGCAAAGACTTCGTCGTGTTATCCACCGATCTTCGACATCAGAGAATTTGAAAGAGCGGGCGCTTTTCGACTTGCTAAGGATGTCGATTAATGGTCTGGTTCATGAGAAATGGGATCATGGCAGACTTTTCTTCTCACTTCACACGAGCACGTTCGAGAGGAAAGCAGCATATGAGTTCCGTGATTGCGCTCTGAGATGAGATGGACTCAAACGCGATCCGCCTTTCCCTCACTTCACATTGACAAAACCACAATCATGTTCGTCATCCTGTACGCACTGACGAGGCATAATTTCTCGCTACGCAGTGGCCGATCTCGGAAACACTGCATTTTGTTGTCTTTTTGCCCAGTGTAAGAATGACGTATTGGTAAAAGTAGATGGTCGAGAATCCCTAGAGGAATTAGAAATAAGGTTCGTGTTCCAGATTCACAAGACAAACAAAACACGGCGTCATTCCCGATCGCGATGATACCTGCAGTGACCGTCGCACGACTCATCAGCGTGATGAATGGCGAGGTGAATTAAAGAGAGGGTTTCGTGGTCCGGACGGATCCTCTCGTCCCGGCATTCTCCTCTGCCCGATTCAGTTCCATTCGGCAATCTCGTCGCGCCATCCCCACGTCTCCTATTTTCCGGAATTTCGTTGGCGGCATATCCATCGCATTCCAAATTGATGGTCTCGAGATGATGATATGACGTAAATCCAGAGGAAACAGGTCATTCTTTTTGTTGGAACGATTCCTCATCCAAGGATGAAACCTCTCATCGATTAACATCGTTAACGCGCATTGTGGGATTTTGTGGACGAACACGTCATAGCACTATCTCACTGTCGCGAAGGTGGAATCTCGAAGAAAGAGAGAGAGAGAGAGAAAAAAAAAAAGAAACCTCCACTCCTAAGCAATCGCGTATGCGATTTACTTTGGCGGGTAAATCCATGGTCGCGTCCATAATGAACAATGAATGATCGTGTGGGACCGAATCGATTGGAGAATAATGCAGTTGACAGATACGAAATATTCTATTTGCCCCGTGAAATATGCATGGTTTCATTGCAAGAACCTTAGTCTCCATCAAAGAGAGGCTGAATGGGAATAGGAGCGCTAAAATACGCCAGAAAACGTGATTTTTTCTGAATTTCTTGCAACAACACTGATACACAGGGTGTCTCAAAAAAAATCTATGCTGCAAGAATTGATTTTTCTTTTACTATTTTAAACTTGAATGTAAATTTTTGTGGCAGTTGAATGAGAAGAGAATTAAGCTTTCCACTGCTGAAGATTGCACGAAGATCAAGGAACTCAGAAGCGAGGTTTAGAAAGGAAAAAATTGCATTCAGACATGCCAGTGAAACACTGCAAGCAGCCTATAAAAGAAACTCCAGCAACGCAACCACTCAAAGAGGCTGTTGATCCACAAGTATGCTGCAGAGACTCTTCAATCTTGGTTCTTGGGCATTGGTCGACAAAAATGCCGCAGTATTCATTGAATGAAGGAATCTTCTTGGCGACCCAAGTCTCAATCTCGCCTTAAACATGTCTTCAAGTGCTGGTGTGTACATTTCTTCTAATTTTCTAATGTTCACTGTTCTACGTCTTGCTTTAGAAGTATTAGATTTTCATGTGGTTTCAGCAGAAGATAGCCCAACCTCTCCACCTTTTAACCGCACAAAAATATTGTCTACATGCAATATAAAAGAAAAATCCATTATTACAGCGGTAACTTTTTTCTCTAGATATCCTGTACTTCAGCTTCTTTAAGATCGAAATCCATGTGTTCGATATGAATACAATCCTATCGACTACGATCGTGTTTTGAAGCTTCACATACGAAAACACGATTATGGGTTCTGTCAACGCGGAAGCGAGATGTAATTGCAGGCTGAGATCGTCTCGGTCGACGAGATGAACATGATTTACCTCTGGGTGAGATCCCATTCCCCCCGTGGAGTCGCTCCTCGTTCCTCGCAGGAGAGACCGAAGCGCTCTTGCAGCATGTTCTTCCTTGCGTTTCCAGGAATCCCAAAGCAAGGCCGGGAGCGTATTCATTCCATGATTTTCGTTACAGCCCACTCCAACTAAATGGGATCTTCGGTCAAAGTAGCGTGGAGGAGAGTCCATCAACGTCCCGATCCCCGACCTACTCGAGCTTCGCAGATGGGATGTCGAACCGAGAACCCAAAATCGAATAACGTCCTTCCATCTTCTACGTTTCTCCCAGAGTTCATTGCAAACATCGAGAACAAAAATGCTGGCTTCCATTCTCGTTCGACGACAGCAAAAGAGTCAGATGATGTCTCATCTTTCTCTACTTTCCATCCCAAGAATACGATGGACGGGTTGACACACGAAAGCGTGTCGTTTTACCGTGTTACTTTTTAGCCACGAAGAGAAACCGTCGCAATACCGCAATCTTTCATCCTTTCATCGAGAATGAATTGAAAAACTGAAGTTGAGAACCCTGTCTCTGCGCTCGACGACCGGAATCGAACTGCAAATCTGCCTTTCTCAGTGCCTCCGTCTCTTCGAGCCAATAGTGAATTATGTTATTGCACATCATTTTTAGAAGTTCGTGGACGAAGCCATTCTCTTTCCCACAGACCTGTTGACAACACTGAGGGGCGAATTCACATTATCGTGCTTTAAGTTACTTCTCTGTTA